GAGTTCCAGGTGGGAGATTATGTGTTGCTCAAAGTCTCCCCCTGGAAAGGTGTGATTCGATTTCGAAAACGGAGAAAGCTCGGACCCCGATTCATTGGACCCTACAAGGTCATAGCCCGTGTGGGAAAGGTGGCTTACCGTTTAGAGCTGCCTGAAGAGCTTAGTCTAATTCATAATACGTTTCACGTGTATCAGTTACGAAAATACCTTGTTGATGAGACCACTGTGATACCACTGGAGGACATACAGGTTGACGAGCATCTCAATTATGTTGAGAAACCAATCGCTATTTTAGAACGAAAGACGAAAGCTCTCCGCAACAAGACTATAAACCTGGTTAAGGTGCAGTGGCAACATAGGAAGGGTTCAGAATGGACTTGGTAATCGGAAGGCGAGATGAGGGCTCACTATCTGGATCTGTTTTTAGGTGTTGACTTCGAGGACGAAGTCCGTTCTTAGTGGGGGAGAGTTGTAACGCCCCGGTTTTTCTCGGTACGTTTAGTTATTTTAATTTAATTATTCTTGTAACCTTGGGTTAATTTATTTAACCAATGTCTGATTTCTTATGTTATTGGACTCTTTTGATCATCTTGTAAACTCCTTTTATTGAAGTCCATGGGCTATGAGCCTATTTGCAAGTCCATCTAGTAAATAGTACTTAATGTGTTAATTGAGTCATTTGGAACACACACAAGAAAAACACTCTAAACCCTCCATCTCTCTCTCAAATCGTCCTCTCTCTCTCTCTTTGGGATCAAGAGCAGCCAAGGGGCTGTTGTTTGGAGCTTAATTCTTGTTCATTTCCAGCCTTGATTCGTATTGGTATGAACCTCCTTATCATTTCTTACAACTTGATTCATAACCTTGTTCTAGTTTTATGATTTCATCTTCACTTCTTCTCCTTCCTATTTGATTTGTAATTGTATGTTATACATCATCTCAAGATCCTATCTTCACCCCATATATGGTGGATGATGGATCTAGGGGATTACATGTGGCAAAAGATCATGGAAACCCTAAAAGGGAGAATGGTGATTTTATGTGCTTTATGTTCATTTTCATGTTGATTATTATTACAATCTTGTGGCGAAATGAAATCCTAATGATACCTAACCCTTTTTAGTACCACCATGATCATGGGGACTAAATTGGGATGATAAACACATCTTAAAATGTGTTTCAAAGGGAGAAGGATGGATAAGCCAAAAAGGAATCACGGGTGGCTACGATTCTGTTTTCCATCAGATCTGTAGTCATTTTGTAAAATTCATATCTTGAGTTCTAGAACTCAAACGGACCCCAAACCAGTTCCAAAAGTTCAAAAATTGAGTTGGCTAACATTCTTAAGCAGGCCAACCTCACTGATAAGTACTTTATCTATGGGAAAGAATGGCATCTTTGCTGTTAGGTCTGATCCGGGTCTGTTCTGATATGTCATTTTGTTTTCATCATTTCTAAGGCTTGGAAAAGGATCCAGAGTGATTCCAAGTTTCTATATGTTCCTTATATTATGAATTTAAGATCTGGAGCAGATGGGGTGTTATTTCCAATTATAAATTGGTTAGAATGGATCCACACTCCAGATCAGTGGGCAGTCACCAGCTTTTGCTAGTGCTGTGATTGTCCACAATGTGAATTTTATATCTGGAGTTTGGGAGATGCTTTTCATTAAATTCCAACTCTGAGACTTTCATTTGTATGTACTTTACTTCTCTGAATTTTGGTTTGGACGAATTCTACTCACAAGTTGGGTAAAATTGGCCAACATCACTTGACTGTATTGTTGGAGACAGAAGTGATACACCATTTTGTAAAAGTCATATTTAATTCATCTTTTGGAGTTAGAAGGAGTTCTTTATAGTTCTGGAATCCTGAACAATCATAGTTTCCTATAAAATTTTGTTAAAGCTATGTTTCTGTTTTATATTTTGGAGTAAATCCATTTTGAACAGCAGGTCTGTTTTTAGAGACCTTGTTGTGTTTACTCTTTTCTCAACTCATAGCTTCATTACTTCTCCTTTCTAACCTTTAGTCCTTCTTAGGTGAGGTTTTGAAGTTTGCTCAAGCTTGATAGCATTATTTGATTGTTAGCTATCCTTACTACTCACTCAAGGTGAGTTCTCTCACACCGTTGTATTGATGTTTGCGTTTGCTAGTTAGCTCGTGTGTGATTATTTGAATTTATTATAAAGGCATGCTATATAACCATTGTTTTAATTCGTACATGTGCACTATATGTAACTAATTATGGATATGGGGACACCACCAAAGGATACGGATTTACCGGTGCGGTGGGTAGGTAATATCACCAACGTAATACTCATCATGAGGTGCGGTGATTAGGGCCAAATGATACGGGATCTTCCCCGGTGCGGTTCAAATCTACAAGTCCTTCTTGTATTATAGGCATTGATTCGTTCTTTGCCCTTATCATATAATTATAAATGGAAAATGGATTAGGGTTAGTAAATATGAATGTTAGTACAATGTCTGTGTTTGAATTCACTAAGCTTTGTGCTTACGGTTTCCCTTATAACTTTTCAGGTGTTAAGATTAAAGAGGCTAAGGCTTGACATGGAGCACCGGGACATCGCTACTAGTTATTTTTGTTGGGACCTTATTATTATTATTATTACTTCCGCACTTATTTTATATGATTATTAAGTTGATGGATTATGTTATGACTATTTCAATTGTTTTAATTTAATTTAAGATGCGTTTTAAAAGTTTAAAATTTTTGCAAAAAAAATTTGGGTGTCACACTTTGCCTCCTCTGGTCCCTATAGAAAAACAAAACAGATCCACCTGCAATTCCAAATTTCACCATTGATTTTTTTATAACATCATTTTTTTCATATAAAAGTATCATTCAAAAATCAATACACTCACATGGCAAAAACTATCTCCTACTGCTGTCAATATACAAATTCGGATCACTCTCCAAATCTTCATCCATGTCATCATCAATATCCAAACTCCTAGTAAGATACTGATTCAAATTATTAGCTCCAACTGGAGGAATTGTAGCTTCTACAATTATTTGCATAATTTCATCAACACTTTGCATCGGCGGGCCCACCAAATTGATCCATTGCATTTTCTTTTGTTAATTCTGCTGGCAAGTTCTTAAGAAACCATTCATGGTTTCTTATCTCATCCATTGTTCTCCGCTTAGCAGGATCAACAACAAAGATTCTATTCTGGAGATTAAATGGCGCCACTCGGTGGAAATATGAACGTAAGATGGAATCGAGTATTGGACATTTAGAATTCGCTGTATAAACTTGCGGAAATTCTTGAGTTCATCAGGGTCTTCAAAAGGGTAAGCTCCAAAAAGCATGGCATATAATGTTACACCACATGACCACACATCTGCAATCTTGCCATCATATTTTTTTTAAGCAAGACTTCACTGATTCGGTTTGTTGCAGGTTCGGACTAGGTGAAGAAGATGAACAGTAGCTTCGTTCTTGGCTCGGAATAAGCAGTTGATAAGCAGTGATGGTTGTTCGAAGGAGGTGGCGACAAGTTGGTTTATGTTTTTAGGTAGTCTCGGCTAGAGGCAGGGGTTCGAGTATCAATGGAAAGGGCGAAGGTGGAGAGGTGGATTCGGTGATGATGCAAAACCGAAGGCGGTTGCCGGTTTCTCGATGAGCAAGGATGGAAAGGTCTCGAGTCTCGACTAGAGGGCGAAGAACACTGCATCCGTTTTTTTATGTTTCTTTTCTTTGTTGCAGGTGTTTTTTGATGGAGAAGATGAAGAGCACCAGTAGGTTTTTTCTTATGTTTGTGATGGAGGTTGTGTAAGGGAGGTCTAAAGTGGAGGCTATGGATCTGGTTTGTTCCAGTTCCAAATCAACAAAGGAGTGGCTCTAATGGTGAGTTTCTCGGTAAAAGCTATTCGCTCTTTTCTTCTTCTTCCTGGTTCGTTTCAATCGACAGAAAAGGAATCAAATACATACGACAACTTCGATGAATCGGAAGGGCGCATCAACACGCAATCGACTAGGTTTACCTTTACCATTAGATCCCGATCATCCAGTCGATTGGGGTAATTGATTTGGGAAAAATTCAATTTTGTTGATGAATGGAGGATACAGTCGACTGGTGTAATGATTTAGACGAAAGTAGGATTGTTGGGTACCCACTCAACCGGCTCAACCGGTTAAAAGACAAAAAAACAAGTTTTTGCAAAATGTGTGGTTTTTTTTGGAAAAAAACAAACTTTTTGGTTTAAAACGAAAAAAACAGTAAATATTGGGTCTTTATTGGAAATAACCCAAATTAATAACATTTAAATGAATTAACACCAAAAACATGATGTTCATGAGCCAAGATATCGACCACTAGGGTCAACCCGCAGAGATTAACCGGTGGTCCGTACCAAAAAAGAGCTATGAAATTTTAAGCCGATTAAAAACACTGGAGTGTGAAGTCAAGCCGCCGCAGGTTTTGCCCCTCCGGTCACTTTTCCGGCCGCTTTCTGAACCTAAAACCCTTCAATATCTCCATCACCTTGTTTTATATACAGATATAGGTGCACTTGCTTAATGATACTAATAAAACTGTTCGGCCTCTTCTTCTAGACATCAAACAGTCAAATCTTCCTCCGACAAATTCTGCCCACAGCGATTGATTCCTGCATTGCCGGTGTTATATCTGTGCTTTTGTTCCTCAAATTTTCTCCATTCAGAATTCATAAGGTTTTGATCTAGCTCTTTTGCAATATAAACAGCGAAAATTGTGATAGCTTGGTTTCGATTCTAGGGTTTTAGATTCGAACTACTTGGTTCTTCGTGGAAAGCTACAGGACTAAATTCAAAAATCAGGCGGTGGATTCCTTTTCGTAGTGGAATTTAAGAGTTTGATTTCGCCATCATACATCGTCAGCTGCTTCCGGCGATAAGGTTGAGTTGTTCTTGTGTGTTATATATTCTCGTTCTTCTAGGGTTTTTGTGAAACTGTGAACTCTGGTTTGGAAGAGTCGTAATCTGAAGGGCATGGCGTCGTACAGACCATTCCCTCCACCGCCACCTCAATCAAATTTTGGTCCGCCAATACCTCCGCCACCCAATCAGACTTCCCTCCCACCTCCCCAACTTGCCCCTGTACCCCAACCGAGAGGAAATATGTTTTCGCAGAATTGGAGCTACCCTGCTTCGAGTTTTCAACCGGGTGTTTATGCCGCCCTTCCTAGACCCCCTGTTCCAAATCAGCAACAACACTATTCATCGTATCCACCACCACCACCACCGCCACTGGAGTCCGCTTACCCACCACCACTACCTCCTCCTTCTCAGCCTCCACGACCAGGACAAATGTACTTTCCATCTTCTCAAAACCCCCTGCTTAATAACCAGCCACCGCCACCGCCACCTTCCTCTCCACCCACTTCTTCAATCCCTCCACCACCACCACCGCCCCAATCACAACCACCATCGCCTCCACCACCTCCTTCATCAGTCCCCTCAACCAATCAAACCAAGGAACATAGACAAAGTGACCATAAAGTGTCTTCCAAGCGTGAATCACACCACAAGGTTCCTTCTAGAGAACATGCCAAGCCTTCTGCTCTACCTCCAATGCCAGCAAGAACATCAAAGGCTGAGACAGAAGAAGAGAGGAGGATACGCAAGAAAAGAGAAATGGAGAAGCAAAGGCAAGAGGAAAAACATAAGCAACAATTGAAGGAATCTCAAGATAAAATCCTTCAAAAAACTCGTATCTTATCATCATCTTCAATCAAACCACATGGCTCAATTACTGGTTCACACATAGGTGAAAGGAAAGCTACACCTTTTTTGAGTGGTGAAAGGGCTGAAAACCGATTAAAGAAGCCAACAACATTTCTCTGCAAATTGAAGTGCGTATGTTATGAGTTATGACAACATGTTCAATTGTATCCATTTCTTTTCTTCTATAGACACAGTGCTGAATATACTTTTCCACTTTTTTGCTCTTTAAAGGTTCCGAGATGAGTTACCAGATTCAACAGCTCAACCAAAGCTTCTGTCTTTAAGAAGAGACAAAGATCGGTACACATCCACATTCATAATCTATTAATCTTAACTTTTTTTTTTTGTATAATTTATTCCATATCTCACCAGTTGATGTTTTCAGAGCTGCTAAATATGGCATCACTTCATTGGAAAACGCACACAAACCTCAATTATACGTTGAGCCAGATCTTGGGATACCTCTAGACCTACTTGATCTCAGTGTATACAAGTACTATACTCTATACCTCATTCTACTCTCTTTCTTTATTCTTTCCAATCCATTAACTCTCACAAATCTCCATTTTCTCCCTGGATTAGTGCTCCAAAGAATGAAATCCTACATGTTGCCCCTGAGGATGAAAAACTGTTGCAGGAGGATGTTTCTGTAACTCCTATCAAGAAAGATGGATTAAAAAGAAAGGATCGCCCTACAGATAAAGGGATGTCTTGGTTAGTTAAGACACAATACATATCCCCACTTACCACAGATGCAACTAGACAGGTTTGTATAAATTTTATTTTTTTAATTTATAAATAAATGGTTAAAAAGTAACGTTTTTTTTCTTGAAATTTACAGTCTTTGACAGAAAAACAAGCAAAAGAACGTGAAACACGTGGACGTAACATGCTAGATAGCATGAATAGCAGGTATTTTATATCTATTTTTGGGTTAAATGCAAGAAATAGCAACATACTTTAAAAAATAAAAATTATAGCAATTTAATCCTTGTGTATATGATGATTAATTAGTTGTATTTTTAAAACGTGTATCAGGGAAAGGAAAATTCAAGATATTTTATCTTCTTTCGAGGCATGCAAATCACATCCTGTTCATGCTACTAATAAAAAGCTGCAGCCTGTTGAGATTTTACCATTATTTCCTGATTTTGAAAGGTAACGTTTTTTTTTTTTTTCAGTTCTATAAATAAATTATTAAGATATTGATTTTGCTAATTATTTTTGGATCAACAGGTGGGATGATAAGTTGGTTGTTGCAACTTTTGATGGTGCTCCTACTGCCGATTCAGAAAGCTATAACAAAATGGACAAATCTGTACGAGATGCTTATGAATCTCAGGTAAGATATTCTTAAGGTGGAAGGGTAATAATGTCATTTCAATACCAATCTTTTTTGACTTTTTTTTTTCTCGATTGAAGGCTGTTATGAAAAGTTTTGTGGCAAACACCTCGGGTTCAGCTAAACCTGATAAGTTTTTGGCTTATATGGTTCCTTCAGTTGGTGAGGTAAAAAAAGTTACCCTTAATTCATTTATTAAATGTTTCTGTATTTTTTATTTTTAGCGTACAAATTTATTTAAAAAAAAAATTTATTGCAGCTATCGAAGGATATATACGACGAAAACGAAGATATTTCTTACACATGGGTTCGCGAATATCACTGGGATGTATGTAAAAATTACAACTCTACCCTTGAAATTTTGAGTAACATAATAATCTGATGTGGCGTTTTTTTTTTTTATATTGTGTAAAAGGTTCGAGGTGAAGATGCAGATGATCCCACAAATTATCTCGTGGCATTTGATGAATCTGAGGCTCGTTATATGGTATATAAACAGATATTTTTATTTATATATTTTTGTATTATTAATTATTAATATTAGTTGTGTGCTAATTTTTTTATTATTATTATTTTTTTTTTCAGCCTTTGCCTACAAAACTGATGCTAAGGAAAAAGAGAGCTAAGGAAGGAAAAACGAGTGATGAGGTTGAACATTTTCCTGTGCCATCAACTGTGACTATAAGGCAAAGATCAACTGTTTCAATAGACATGAAAGAATCTGAGGTATTTTATTTATTCATTTATTATTATTATTATTGATTTGTTTGTAAATGGAAAATTTTCTGTGGTTTGTATAGAGTTATGTTGGTTCAAAGGGGAGGAGTTTGAGCTCTTCGAGGCATGAAAGAAGAATAGAGATGGAAGATGATGATGATAATGGTGACATGGATCAATCTAGTGGGGCTGAATATGATAATATGTCTGATTGATAATGATGATATTCAAGATGAAATAATTCACCCAAGTTTTTCTCAAATCGAAGTACTTACACAAACAAGCTAGAGTTGTTTAGAATTGGATTAAGGAATATTTTTGTAGCATAACATATTATATATACCTAGTTGTTTGCCCATTTTGTGTTGAAAATTGCAAACATTTAGTAATGTTAAAAAAGGTGTACATTAAGATGTAGTTTTTAGGCACTTGTACAACAAGCATATTTAAATTTCAGTTTTTTTTCTTTTTCTTTTCTGTTTAACACTTGTACAACAAACATAACAAAAATGACCAACATCATAAATCATCATATTCAGTTTGTCCCAATAATAATGATGACATCATTACAAAATGTGGAAAATCAGAAATGCATAAAAATATGAAAAAACTTTCACATATGAGATGCATAAGTTATGTACATACATTAGAATCCCAATTTTTTTTTTCTCTTTGGCGTCTTTTAAATATTGAAAAAACTTTCAAATATGAAGACTTCTGGATGAAATTGAGGCCCTGTTTGTCGGATAACAAATTAATGTAAGACAATCTTAAAAAAATATATAAAAAAATAAATAAAATGATGTAAATGTAAATCTAACCATGCTTGGCGACATCTGACAGCTTCTTGACGAACATTTCTCTTGGGATCATCAAGTGCTCTTGATAATGCTTGTAACACCTGAAATTAATACAAAATTTCAAGGGGTAAAATCGGAAAAACTACAAATTACAATTAAGTGATTAGTAGTAAGAAGATCTGACCTCTGGTCTGAATGGATAAACCCTAGCGTAGGACACCTCTGACATGGCAGTCAGACACTGAACAGCTGTCTCACGTACCAACTGCATATTTCATAAAGAAATAATTTAAGATACTAATTTTCATAAACTAAATTAATTATATAAAATGAATCGAAAGTGAAAGTTTATAAAAATAACTCAACCATCATGTGTGGATAGACTACAAGCTTGTTGATACACCTGATGATGACGTATGCATTTTCCACAATCACTTCTTCACCTAAACACAAGTAACATGTAAAAGTTTAAATCTTTTATAAAAATATAAACATTTAGGGAAATTGGAAAAAGCTAAAATCTCACCATTTTTATCAGTCAACATTCCTGATAAAACAAGGAGTAGATTATATAAAATGTCTCGATTTTCAACATCTTCACTAAGGATTGTTAAACCATCTAGCATCAATGGAATAAGCTGTAAAATATAAAAACTTTGCATCATTGTATCAAAAAAAAAAAAAAAAAAAACAAACAAGAAGAATCTAAATTTATTTTGTTAAAATATGAGAAGTTAAAAAAAAAAAAAAATACTAACCTTCTTGGCTTCACCCAAAACAGCACTCAATGGAGCATTAGATATGACATGTGCAAGTGCTCGATGCTGCATGGATCTGTAATTTATCAAAAGTTCAAATTTAAAAAAAAAAAAAAAAAAAAAAAAAACAAGTTAAATAACATCAAAAAATATTTATATATAATAACATACCTTGTAACTGGTGAATCTGACTTCACAATTGATGATGATAAAATTGGCATCACTATACTGAATAATCGTTGCTTATACAACGGTTTTATAACCGAATTTAATTTTTTATTCAAACAAAACTCAGAATCACTCATCATAATACCAAAAGAATCTGCAACACTTCTCATTAAACCCACCATTTCTTGATCTTGAGGTGAATTTAAAATCAAGAAATCAAGAAAAAACTTGATCACATCTTTTACCTTTTCATGTCCCCTCATAAGCAACCCTTTTCCCATCCATGATAATCCAATAATCGCATCAACATTAATCCCAATTAATCCATGATTATCAACATTAGAGAATCTTATCAAGTGGCTAAATGTATTATTATCTATTATTGATTCATTTGAAGGAATCTTGTTGAAAAAGGATCCTAAAGCATGAGCTGATGAGGTGTGGCCATTTGTGAGAGATTCTGTGAGTGTTTCCAGGGTTTTTTTGGGGTTTTTTATGTTTGTTTTTGGGTGAAGGGCGATTATGACCGAATTAAATAATGAGATAATCCACTCGTTTCTTGGTTGCAAGACTTTGTTGACCAGATTGGACTCGTTGACTTTGAAGGATTTTTCAAGAATCTTGGTTTGATTCTCCTCTGAACATGTTGCCACTGCATGCTTCATTGTGTTCATTGTTGTTTCTAGAAGCTTCTGATGCAAAATAATTACATATTTATATAAATTTATAAGCAAATTACATAAATTTATAACCACTGATACTTCTTTCTTTGACATTTTTCCAAATTAACTATTTTGACCTAATGAATGGTTAATTTATAAAAAGGTTAAATCTCAGAAAAGACCTTATATTTTGTGTTTTTTTCCGGATTGAACCTCAAACTTTGTTTTTGCCTGAAAAAAAATTGTATTTTTTCATTTTTCCAATTTGGCCCTTTTAGTCATTTTTCTCCAAAAAAATTGTAAAACGTGAGGGTTTTTTCAAGAAAAACTAAAAAGTTGAGGGTTTATTTGGAAACATTAAGAAGGTTGAGGGTTTTTTCGGAAAAAAAAATACAAATTTGAGGGCTTTTCGGAAAAAATGAAAAAATACAAGGTCTTTTTCAGGCAAAAAAAAAGGTAGAGGGTTTTTTCGGAAAAAAAAAATACAAAGTTGAGGGCTTTTTCGGAAAAAATGAAAAAAATACAAGGTCTTTTTCAGGCAAAAAAAAAAAAGTTTGAGTTTTAATCCGAAAAAAACACAATATATTAGGTCTTTTTTTAGATTAACTCTTTAGAAAATGCCTGAAATCTTTATGGTCTGATTGAATAAATAAAGTAACAGTGGTTAAAAATATAAAACTGCACAAAATATAACAATGATTATCTTTTTTTTTTTTTTTTTTTGTGATTTGCCCTTTAAATTATCCAGCATTAACATAAAAATTTGACTGTATGAACAAAAAGGACTCACTTTTTCCACAAGGGTGTCATAGAAAAGTGTGTTATCTTCAATTTCATCCCAAATCTTTAATGCAAAATTTGTTGCCACATCATCAGAATCTTTGATATTCTGAAACCATGGAAGAATCTTGTGATCATAGCATTCCAAAAGAATCATTGCATGTTCAACTGACTTTGAGTCTCCATCAATCTATAATAATAATAATAAAAATCCATTAATAAAATAGAACAAGCAATTTCAATATCCATAAAGTAGAATACTATTTAATCAATGAAATATTGAAATATACCCAAGATTTGTGTAAACTGGAAACAATAGTTTTGTTCAGTTCTTGAACAATCTTCATCATATATTTAAGATTAATCAAGCCAATTTCAGATACTGATTTCACTTTGAGTGAAAAGGGCATTGTTGAATCATTAGAAGATAACAAATCCACCATTTTGTCAACAATAATAGCATCAAAACTTGGCATTTTCTCAGAATCTTGAGATTTTTCAATAAATGAGCCGATTTCAGTTAATGAGTCTAATATGGAGCTCCATAGAAATGTATTGTTGAACTTGATGATAATAACTGAAATAAATTCTCTCAAAATATTCTCAAATGTGGATTTTGATACAGGCGAGAAACTCCCGGGAAATGAAGCTAAAATCTTCAAACCCCTAACTGCAAAAAAGTTTTATAAGGCATTTTAGGAATATCACACCACAATAAAGGAGAATGGAAAGAACAGCAAAGTAATGGAATTAATCAGATAAAAAAAAAAGTTACCTCCAGATTGAGTGTAGGAATCCTCATTGCTTTCTTTCATACTTTTTACAAAAGAAGAAATCAATGAATCACAGAAGCTATGAAGCATGATACACCATGTCTCATTGTCATTATAATTCACTTCATCATTTTTCATAACCAAAATTCTGCAAGCAGCTAATAATTCAACACAGATATAAAGGCACCCGAATTTAGGTTTTTCAGAAGCATAATCTTTCTCCAAACCATTTACTAAACCAGAGAAAAAACTCTGAAAAATTGCATTACAAGAAGCCATGGAAGCTGCAGATGAAACATGTAAAATCTGACCAATTGAGTTTAATCTTTGCTGATCTGGCATTGTAGAATCATCATGATTGTTATAATTTGAGAGGGAGTTCAAGGTCATGTTGATGTCTGCATCCTTTAGGATCAAATTTACAAATACGCCATTATCTTGTTGAATGAGATTTTGTAGAAGAACAAGAGATTCGGATGTTATTTTGTTGGAATTAGATTGATCTGATGTGAATATTGCATCTTTTAATGATGACCAAAGATGTTCAAGATGTTGTAGCATTCTGTGGGGTCCATATTTAAGTGTGCAGTAGCTAAGATACTTCAATGATTCAACCTGTGAGTACGAAAGTTGTTAAAAAAAGAACCGATTTTTCTTAAAAAAAATTCAGTTTTTAGTTTTCACTAACCTTTGATGATGGAAGAGATGAAGAAAGTTTCTCAAGAAGTAATGGAATGGAAAACGGCTCAAAAAGTGGAGTAGATGCAAAAGCCAGCTGTTAATGAAATAAGTTAAAAGGGAAAAATAAAGAAATTTAAAGAGTATAAGCAAAATAAATGATAAATACCATTAGTGCCCTTGAGAGCTCTTCCCTTTTCACATCATCTTCTCCTTTTGGCTGAAAAACGAATGTTAGACAATAAGTATATATATAATTTTACAAGAGTTTAATAAGTAGACTTACGTGTGTAAAGTGAATTGGGAAATAAGATCCCAAAATGTTAAAAAGATCCTCAGCATAGCTTGTTAGTGAATTAGATGAATCTGGATACAAATGTGATAGCATTTCCACTAGATGAAAAGTGAGCAATAAACATTGTGGATCTTTTTCACCATCTATAGCTTCACAGATTACATAAACAAAGTCATCCTCCTACACAATTAAAAAAGAAAAAAGTTAAAACACAAAATAAATATGTATGCATGAATTAATAACAACAAAAAGGTTACCACTTACCATTGTCATCACAGTGTTGGGATAACAATCTATAAGGCATTCTAGAAGCTCAAAGCAAAGCTGCAAGAAAAATCAATGCAGAATATAAAGATATGGAAAAATGATAATGAAAAATCAAAAAGATTCTTTAATGTCACCTTTCTGTCATGTTGACCTAAAGATTGAACTTGTAGGTTTTGCATGAATGATTGAGCAACTGCAGTTGCATCACTGCTGCTGATGTCACCTTTCCTTCTCATTAGAGCCAAACAACCAACAAGTGCACCACGTAGTGCTCTCCAATCTGACTGATATTGGAAATTTATATCAAATTTAATATTTGTTTGTGTTTAAACTTGTAGGTGTGTAATGTATATACACATTATAATACCTCTACATAACAAGTTAGGAATGTTTGATGTTTATGCTACAACTTATGGAGTGTTTGATATATTTGCTAGTTAAGTTAATTTAGGTGTATAATTTAGGCCTTATGGGATTTGGATATTATTGTTATACTGTATATCAATGAGGGTTTTCCTCTCATAAGATGCAATTTACCACACAAGTATGAGAAAATTAGTAAATAAGAAGCTTTAAGGGGATAATGATGAAGCAAAGAACAATCACTTGCATCTAAAGTAGGGATTTTCTTTCCATTTAATAGATAGTTGACTAAACTCACCAGTCTTTCTGCAAAAAACCCAATCAAACTATGTATTGTTGCATTTTCTAAAGGCTTTGATGATATGCGTGTCAACAACTCTGCAAGAAGGAGGATGCCTGAATGACAAGGTAACATTAATCATGAGATTAGTGAAGCAAAAATGGGATAATCTTGCAGTATAACAAATTTAAATTTCCAGGAAGAAAGAAAAGGTAAGACAAATTCACTAGCAAACTTGTATCAGAACATTATAAGCTGAATTAAAAGTTCACAATCACACTTAGTTGTCTTATGACATAATCATAAGACAACTTCTTTAGTCTCTAGGGATTAAGCACACTGAATCCATAATCCACTGACAATGGGCCTAGGTACAAAGGGATAGAGCCAAAACGAGAACACCTTGATTATGCCAATTAGATATCATATATATGAAGTTATGAACACATAAACAATTGGTAAAAATAACTAATATACTAGCCTTTGTGAATACACAACTGAACCATCTTGAATTGGATTCAATAAGAGATAAAAGAGTAATCACCTCTAGCACGAATGATGTTGTCTGTAGTAGTTAAATACATCCCCATTTCTCTTACCTACACATTGAAAAGGAATGTACTTTAATACTATCAATAGGAAAAACAGCACCAAAAAAAAGAACAAATAGACAAAATTGATTACAAGAAACGAACCAGTGATTCCAGAGTTATCATATCATTCATCACGAGCTTCGCAATTGCATCTAAACTTGCATCCTGAAATCAATAATTAGCTTCACTGAGAACTCTTCGTATAAGTCAAGCAATCAATTAGCACGGAAACTAGCGACAATTAGCACGGAAACTAGCGACGAGCCAAAAACAAATGAATGTAAAAGTTAACCTGTTCAGCCGGAGATTTAGACGACGACGAATCGACATACGTTTCGATGTGCTTAACACAGTTAATCGTAGTTGAATCCCCCATTGGCGGATTGGGTTGTAGCAGACTGCAACGGCTATTGTTCAAGGGTTTTAAGGGTTTTGCTTTTTCAAGAACACCTTGTTGTTGGGGGGATTTTGACACATAAACCGCGAAAAAAATTGAGCAGTCTATTTTACAACTTTGTCGCGTTGACCATATTCCTTCGTTTCGACTTTAATTACCTCTAAATTTTTTTAGTAACGGTGAAATATATTAACAAAAAAATCACATCAACAAGTCATTACAGGAATTGCATAAAAATCTTTACTATTTGTTAAAATTATTCGGTTTTAACCTAAACTAGACGAATTTTCTACGTATTGTGCAGATTTTTCATCAAATAAATAAAATTTTGAGAATTATAAATATTTTACATAAACGATTTTATTGAAGATATGTAAAGAATATGGAACATACCGTAATCTTATAGCATTTCACTTGTATTATTTTTGTAATAGCATTTCACTTGTGTATATTTAGTAAGGATTTCAAACCACGTATACCATTTCGTAACGTATATTTGTATGTAATACCTTTCTGTTTGTATAAATGTATTTAGGTACAATATATTATTTAATCGACACAATGGCGTCAATAGATATTAAACTTTTAAAAGGTTTTAAATTAATATTTTGCCCCCATTTTTTACATATGTTAAATGTATTTATGTTTAATAAATAAAAAAGTGAAAATAACGGAGTGGATTTAAGTAAAACGAAAAACTCTTGTTTACTTAAGTGAAGAAAAAACATCATAAATGGTCCTTGTGGTTTCCCAAAATCTGAAGTTTAGTCCCCATGGTTTAAAAACCTCATAGATGGTCCCTGTGCTTTCAAAACTTTTGACGATTGGTCCTTATTGCTAACTCCGTTAAGTTTGCCCGTTAACTGAAGGGTATTTTTGTCATTTCACTACCATAGGGACCATTTATGATGCTTTATCTTATTTTTTTGGAAAAAAAAAATTTAATAAAATCTCTCTCTCTCTCTCTCTCCTAGATGCCATTAACCCAATCTTACCCCCACTTTTTCTTCGATAATCCTTAAACCCTCCATGGAAATATGAGTTTAATCCTACTGGAGAACCATAAAAAACTCTTCTCAATCCTGGCATCACATACTAGATAACAATCTTCTTCATTTCTCAGTGGGTCTCTCTCGATGGATCCTTTATGAAACATCAGCGCTGTTAGGTCACCATCGAAGAACACAAAATTTGCCAAACCCAATCACTCTATCCCTCTCATTGAACTGTCGAGTCCCATCGCTAAATCCGGTGTTCTAGTATGGATCCCGTCTACCTTGTGCCATGATCACGTTTTAGTATGGTTTTATTGGGATTAAGAAAATCTTTTAGTTTCGTTTTCTTGCAAAGCTCATAGATTAAGATGGAATTATTAAGAGAAATCATAGATTCAGATGGCATTATTTGTATCTAGCAAAGCTCAGATTTTTTAGTTTCGTTTTCTTGGGATTAATCTTCATTTGCTTCTTCAAATCGTCGCCCGTACTCCTTCACTGGATCGATCCCATAAGATCTCTCTTGCAGATCTTTAAAAAACAATTCTTGGGGAGGACCCATTTGGGAAAAACGCGTTCGATCATCCGTCGAGATCTGTTCCAATACTGGATTCAGATCTGGCAATGAAGAAGGAGAGGCTTATGAGGTTTTCAGGTCCGGCGATGGAGAGAGGGACATGTTTCAGATGACATTAGAGATGGAGATCAACAACTTGGGGATGGAGGTGGAAGACGGTGGTACCCTCTTGTCTCCCTTCCCTTGCTTACCGCATGTACTTTTTTCCTTCACCACTCACCATCGGTCCTCTGCTAGTGACCCATAAGAGATCGACAACTTGTGGACACCCTTCGGCTTCGAATCTGGATGGTGGTGTTGTGCTGGAGCGCGATTTTGATCAAGACTATGGCGGTGAGGTTGTTAAATCGGTAACGTCGCTAAGGTTATGTTGCAGGTTTTAGAACAGATGAAGGAGTTAAAGAAATCAATGTGGGTTTGTTCTTCAAATCCTTAATGACGTTCCAGAGAGAGAGAGATAGAGAGAGCTTTTATAAATTAAATAATTAAATTTAAGTTTTTCTTTTTTTTCAAAAACAAATTAAAGAAAACATCATAAATGGTCCCTGTGGTAGTGAAATGACGAAAATGCCCTTTAGTTAACAGAATAAACTTAACAGAGTTAGCAATAAGGACCAATCGTCAAAAGTTTTGAAAGCACAGGGACCATCTATGAGGTTTTTAAACCATGGGGACTAAACTTTAGATTTTGGAAAACCACAGGGACCATTTATGATGTTTTTTCTTAAATGAATAACATTTCAAAAGTCATTAACTTATTATGTAACTAAAAGAGGTAATTTATGTAAAATTGGTTATTTAGCTTTGAAACTATATAATTTATCCATTTTCCTAAAGCCTTAGGTTCATACATAAATGCTCATTGATCATTATTCAGGCAATGTCCTATGCAATCGACCATCTTTTGTTTTTTACTCCATAATATTGTTTTCTGATGATATCCAATCTTCAATCCATCAACACCACCAAACATCCAATAATATTTATAACATATAACAATGCAATGCTAAAAATGTAAATAAATCTGTTTATAAGAATCGCTTGGAAAGCTAAATAAAAGAGAAAATAATATGAAAGTTATCTGTGAGAAGCAAGGTTCTAAATAACGTAAGGCGTGACTTGGCGGCAATGTCAAGCCTCAAGCTTTTCTGAGCCTTGGCGAGCCACGTCGTTTGTAAGGCGTGAGATAAGGCGGCAATTTTGTATATAATTAATATTTTTATATGTATTTTCAACTATTATTTATTTTTATACACATATATGAGTTAAGACGGCGTTTTGGTAAAGCTTGGCGGCAGATACAAGCCTTGGAGCCATGACGAGCTTTTTAGAACCATGGTGAGAAGTGAATTGTTTTTTACCATTTCTTTATGAGTCTCGCCACGTGTAAAGAAGAACACATGTGGATGGATTTCGTGAGATACTCTTGCAAGCTTATGTACGAAACTCATCATATTAAAGTAGATATGGTTTTCGTTTGACACAACCTTATATTGAGCACTTTATTTGGTGACTTTGAAAACCCTAATAGCGTAGACCACTTTTTCTTCCAAAATAGTTTCGTACTTGTTAATATTGTTCTTCTCGATGAAAACATGAATCGATTCACCCTAACAATATGTAGACAAACAATTCAAAGATCAATTTATTTGACATCATAATTGTGCATCTATTCTCAATAACTTAAAAGAAAGCATATACAAAAATATACCTTATTATCAATAAATACAATCCCCAACCCTATTATATCGTTTTCATTCTTATGATTCACCGCTTCCCACATCATACACAATCGTACCCGGATAATCCAATCATTTTTTGATGGATTAAGCTCACTTATCTTAGTGTATGTCATCTCTGTTGGGTTTTATTCAAAAATAGTCTATAAAAAACTACGAGTTTATCAACGAAAACATTAAAATTTGAATAATAATAAAATCATTTTATACCCACCAATGTGTTGGATTAGGTGTCTAAGACCATAACTATAATTGGTATGTACTTGACCCGATAGTAGCATAGTCCTTTTGGGTTGCCTTCACCATAGCAATTTGATAGGATGAATTATGAAGAAAGAGGTTAATTGTGATTTATTAATATATTATAAGAATAATATATTAATTGAGAAATCATATTATTTAATTAGTAATGGTCATAAATTAATTTGGAATTAATTTATTGATCAAAAGAGACTAATTGAATTAAGGGGACTGATATTGTAATTATCTAATAGTTGCTAAGTTGGGCTTATGGATCCCTAAGAAGGGATGGACGAAATTCTATGTGTATCCCACATAGAATTCGTACAAAGGGGGTTCTGGAAGGATCTAATGGGTTGCTTAAGGCCTAAGCAGAGAATTTGAGTTCCAGTCAGAAACCCTAGCAGCTCAGCTATATAAGGAACCCCTAGGACTCCCAAAATCGGCCACTGCTTCCAAGAGAATACCCTAGCCGATTTTAGAAGCCTCTCACCTCTCTCTCATAATCCTCCATTGCTACTTGGTGTTTTTGACTCACTAAAGGTGCAACAATTAAGGCAATAAGCTCTTGAAGGTCAAGATCCACAAGCTACAAGTGAAAGGTATACTTCTAACTTTGATTTTATGTTACATATTCCGAAAATTGTATATTAGTTAGGGTTAATGCTTTTGATGATTTGATTTGCATGTATAACTTGAGAAAAATATAGATCTGAAGCATTAGGGTTGCATGTACACCATAGGAATGTTGTAGTGCTCAAAACCCATCAGTGGTATTAGAGCTTAGGCTGTTTTTTCTGTTATATTTGATGTCATGGTTGATTGTTCAAAGATGAAAGAAATCGATTTTTGCCCTCTGACAGATGAACTCGACGAGTCCATATTAGGACTCGACGAGTCGAGGCAACTCGACGAGTTGACTCGTCTGACTGCAGGATTTTCGGAATTTAAGCATAAATTAAATTTGGATAATTACCATATTTTTTCTGTCAAAATCCAATTTTTCTATCGTGGTAATGGATATCCTAATCTAACTTACTAGATTATATGATCAACTAATTATTTGTGAATTTTGAATTGTGATTATCTTGTCAAATAAAAATGGTATCTGCCAAACATAATATTATCATAAGGTTTGGACAGAGTATCTGCCAGACATAATATTATCCTAAGGTTTCGTACAAAATAAGAATATTATTCCTAAAATATTGGCAGGGTAACTACCGGACATAATATCATCCGAACGTTGCATGCATTTTATAAATCACTGATATAATGTAATTATTAACATTTTACGAAATCAATAATATATTAATTTAACATGTATCCCCCCTCGGTGGTAAAACTTTTGAAAATCATAAAAGTGGGGCCGTAAACTAACCCTCGAAGTGTGAATCGCATAATTAGTGCAACGTCGGGACTCGGAAGCTCGGGGACCGCTCGAGAATGGAAGCAGCTCGACCAGACAGAGAGAGAGAGAGAGAGAGAGAGAGAGAGAGAGAAGTGTGAGGGATGTGTAGAATGGGTCTTCCGCATCCTTTTATTTATAG